TCGACTACTATTTTAATGTTAAAATATTTTTAAGTATCAAATTCTGTTCAGTTTTGTACGCTCTTTCGAATGAAATGTCGTTCGAAAAAATCGAACGAAAACTGACGATTTTATACATAAGAAGCTGAAATTCGGGTTTTTTAAGCTGTACAAATAAAACTTACCAATTTTCTCATTTAAGGTCTATGGGCAAAAACGGAACATACCAGAAGAATCAGCTCGTCGAGCTCTACAAACTGGTCCATATCCCATTTAAAACTGAGACTCACACTTGGAGATATTCCCTCGTTAGTTGTAGATACAGATACTTAGGTAGTTGTCTTATAGTTTTTTGAGCTGTATAAGAGATTTTAGAACAGATTTTAGAAGCATCCTAAGGTTCGGCTAAGTTCGTGTTTGCGTTCGGGTTCAGATATTTTGAAACATATTTAAAATTTTTCTATGAAATCTATTGTTGTTTAGTTTTGGATAATTTTTCTCATGATGCATAGGCATTCATAATCAACCGTGAAACCTTCTCTTTGGACTTACTACTGCCTGCTTCTGGAAGGGAACTAAAAAGGGCTGGACGGAGCAACGAACCCGAACCCAAACTCATCGAATGCGAACGTTCAGGTTTGGTGCGTGCCTACCCTGAACATTTCTAGAGCTGTTCAAGATAATGATGTCCATAAAGACAGAATAATGGTTCTAGTATTGGAAAGAGAAGTAGGATACCGCAATCAATAATTTTTAAAGGCATGGAAGTCCGAGCTAAATAATGTTCCTGAAGATTGATCGTACTGAATTATCTAATAAAAACTCATATTTCAAACAGTTTACGACAAGATGAACGTTCTCAAGACGTTGAAGAGCATGAGATTGAAATACCAAGCAAACACTTTAAGAACTCTACTTTCCTATATTAAATAAAGCTTTTAAGACTTAAAAAATAGGAAGAACTGTTTGTCACTAAATTGAAGATAAAAATGACGATAAAAGTAGATGATTTCCAAGAGTGCAGTGTAAAAAATAAAGTGTGTCCACTAGTGTGTATTTCTCCAAGTTTGCATTTCTAGTTCAAAATGATGTGCAGCTGCTTAAATGAGCAATTCTGAGCACACTGAACAGACTGTCTTCAGGAGGCATTTTGAGTACAAAGTGATGTGCAATTGCATTGTGCCTCGGGCACACTTTATTTTTTATTGTGTGCTTACTGTTTCAGCATTAGCCAAATTGTATTTGTAAAATATTAATATTATTTTGTTTCAGATCGTCCCAAACATGTTTCGCCGCTTGTCTAATTAATTTTCGTTGACGATCATATTCAGCTTCGAATATTGAAACGATATGTTCATTATCGCTATGAAAGCCATTTCCTTTCAGCCATACAGCCTGTTTTGGATAATATTTTTCTAACCAACTATCAATATCCTTTTTTGAGTTACATCGATGAATTAAGTCCGCACCATAATAAGATTTTTTACCGTTATATTCGAAAGACTGATGATAAAAGAATGGATTTAGTTTGACTGGGTATTTTTCGACGATTAATTGAATTCGTTCATTCGACACGGGAATTTTTAGTGCAGTAAAAAAATACCAATGAATACCGCAATAATCTTGAATTCTTAAATCAAAACCATATCGTGGTTGTTCGGCTTGAGCAGGTACTAAATAAAATATTGTACCTTTGGCTAAATTTAGGTGCTTATACCAACTATGCAATGTTGAAAGCCGTAAAATATCGGCATCTAATGATTTTGAATTGAATACAATAAATTGTTTGATTAGCTTCCTTGAACGTTCATTTAAATCAAAAAATGCATTATAAATATCAGCCGGTTCCAAATATGCAAATATGCACACAATAAGTTCATTCGGTAGACAGTTAAATGTTGAAGACATCAAGAACAAACTCTGTAAAAATAACGAGTCTTTTCATAGTTAAAAAGTTCAGGTGCTCGCCGCTGAAAAGAGAAGACTTTGAGACATCTTTTAGTAAGAGGGATAAGTCCAAAAAGCGAACTCTTTCCAGAAACTCTTTAAAAATCCAAGTACTTTTCACTGATTTTTTTACAACTTTTATTGAACTCCTTGTTACAGTGCAGATAAAGCAGAATTATTGAAGTGTTTTGGATCGATTTTGACTGCTTAATGAATTTTTTAGTGTCCCATAGAAATTGGCAAAAATGCATTCTTCCATTTAGCACAGATTTTCAGTGAATTGTTGAAGCTTTTTTGAAAAACAGCTATGATCTCGTTTCCAAACATCTCCTAGTAAACCTATTTCAAAACATCGTGTTTTGGACTTGTATTTCTTACTAAAAGACGTATCAAAGTCTTCTCTTTTCAGAGACGAGAATCCGAACTCTCTAGCTGTTTTCGTTTCGAGTTATTCAATAAGTACTGCCTACCACTCTATGTTGAAAGCGATAGTAGTGTTTTGTAAAGTTCGCCTTTAATCTGGTAAAGGGATAGAGGAAAGCGTGTGAGCGATGGTGACTAATTAGAGGATGATTGTAATCTAAAGACAGTAATGAAAAAAATGATAAAGGATGCAATATGGGTTATTTACCCGAAACAGAATAAACAATTTTACTATTTAGCAGTATGCAAATCAAGAAGTTCTGTCATAAGATTAATTTTTTGAAAAGCAGCAAAAGTATTTCAGCTATAAGTCACTTGGTTGAGTTAGTCTAACGCGAAAAGCAACGATAAGACATTGACGTAGTGCAACTAGACTACCGTATCTCGTCAGTTATATCACACGTTTATAATAAAGTCAAAATAGAGGTGTTGCTCAATAGAAAGAAAGAAAAAAACCGTACATTCAGTATGAAATGATAATATGACTCATAATGCACATTTTACAATGAGTTAAGAACTTTTCTGCAAATAAGTGTATTATTTCTTATCGGAACTCAATTTTTCATGTTAAGGTTGAAAAATCTTACTGGAACCTCGTACGATGCTATACCTATAGGATAACTCGGGAATCCGGATGTGGGATCCAAAACAATTCTCTCACAGATGGTCCTACCATAGGAACGTGTGACATTTCCATAGAAAATGCTATTCTAAGATTCTATTAGTTCCCTAATAGGAAATCGTACGATTCCTGGAGCAGTCCAGAAAGAAAATGGTAAGATTTCTATCATTGTCCTATGTCGAAGAGGCTTGGCCTATGTATATGCTGGGGTAGTTTTGACAAAACCTGGGCAGTAAACGGGAAGACACTCGCTCCGAAAAGGAAAAAACGCTCATCATGTAATAAATACAGTTTTCACCATTAGAAAAAAAGAAATTTCATAATGATTGGTAAAATATATTTTTCACCTGTTACAAAGTTGTCGTGATTCCTTTTCGTCCTGTTTTGTAACGTGTCTCTAGACTAAATTTTTCTTATAAAAGAGCAAAAACAATTCAGTCTAACGGTTAAGAGAAAAAATGTCGTTCAGAAAGTGAAAAATAATTTGGAAGGGAATTGGGCAGCGACATTACGTGAGAAAGGGTCAAGTATAGGTTGTATGATGCGTAATTCTAACGAGTCAAAATTACTCATACTCATCGATTATTGCACAACTTTTCTTTCTTTCTCTTTATATTTAAAAGCAGCAGCATGTTCTTTCGTTTCACCTCTCTCAAACCATTCATTTATTCAGTTAGTTGACAATGGAAGCTCTTCCCGATGAATTACTCTTACTCATATTTCGGCATCTACACAAGTTTGATATACTCTATTCATTTAACAGTCTCAATCAACGTTTTCAACAAATAATCGAACCTTATCTATTCGACATAGATTTAACTCAAGAAAACAGTTTTTCCTATAAAGACATCCATTTGTTTCTCCAACACATTCTTCCCCTACAAGGTAGAGCAGTACGATCTCTCAAACTCGATGGACAACAATTTCGATTATTTTATATTCGTGTCTGTCATTTAATTAACCTACAATCTCTTACGTTAAAGTTACATAGATTTGACGTGCAGTACAGTCGTCAACTAAATTATTTTCTCACTCGAGCTTTATCAACAGTACCATCGTTAACTGAACTTTTACTTTTTGAAAGTGGAACTGAAACATTGAAGACTATTTCATCCTTTGCATCATACAACTTGACTAAGCTAACTTTACTATGTTCATGTGGTGATCCAAATCTTGATGATGTTTCACAAATGCCCTATCTCAAACATCTGTCAATGAATCTAGATTCCAAATTATTAATAAAATTATTCAAGATTATGACAAATCTACAAGAACTAAATTTAGCAGTGTTACATTTTAATGATATAGAAAATTTCTATTTATTGCAAGTACCAAAAACATTAGAAAAACTACAGTTGGAAATTGGACTTTATGGTAATTGTCAATCAAATTTACAAACGATAAAGAAGTTTTTAGATGTGTTCAAGAATGAACTTAGCTCATTGATATTGATTATTATTAATGCCGAAAGAGACTTCTGTAATTATAGTGACTTTCAAAGTTTAGTAAGCAACTATACTCGTCTTGAAGCATTTCAATATTATATTCGTACTAATTGTCGACCCGATGATTCCCGATTTCTAAACGTTGAACAATTACCAGATTCAAGATATTGTTTTTATACTCTACCACTACCTAAACTCTTCGACACTATATCTAGCCTAACAACACTAGACTGTCATCTAGATTCAAATTTTACTCTACAAAAGTTATCTATTTGCACTACACTCTATATTTCTAGCAGCCATAATTATCAAATTCCACTAATTACATCTGAACTGAAAGACGATCTTAAACTTGTAAATCGGAAGAAAATTCAATTTTTTTTTTGATTGAAGACGTCACACCTGCCATATGTCGATTCTTATCGAGAGTTATAGCTCTATCGCCAAATCTAAACTCTTTGACTGTCTACACTAATGACATAAACAAAATGATTCAACAACTAAAAGAACTCATCCCTGTAAAGCACTCAAATAATATTACTCATTTAGAGTTTGAGGGATATTATAAAGATAATAATTATCACACGACATTCCTCCATAAGTTATCAGAAATCTTCCCAAATTTGAAATCATTTAGACAATTTATTGATTTAGATAAAACGACATTGACTACTCTTATTCAAGACCTGAAAATATACTTTTGTAAATTGACTCGTTTGGAATCAGAATACTGGCTGAAAGATAATAGAAGTCGAAGTGCATTGAAAAAGTATAAGAAAGATTTGAATGAAAGTCAGCAGCACACAGATAATGCATTGTATAATACATTTAGTTATGATAATAATTATAATTATGTTAATATTTGGTTGTAATAAAGCTAATTTTTGTTGTTTTTACTTTTTGAGACAGAGATACTGGCATTCCAACAACACCATTTTATTGTATGAAATACTGTCAGTATATTTGTTACAGTGTACCTTCGTTCGAAACCTAGCGTACAATAGGTAATAGAGTGTACTGAACCCGAATATCGTAGTGGTTTGGGTGTCTAGGCCTCCAGAGACCAGTTTTCTGGAAAACCAGTTTTTCGGAAACTCTAAGAGATAACTGAAACCTTTCTTAATGAGGCATGATTGTAGCCCGCAAATTTCTGATTAAAATAAGACATCTCCCAGCTCTACATGACCTTTCTTTGCAAAGTTATAGAATTTATACGAAGAGCCCTAAATGTCCATTGTCAGCTCAGAGCTACAGAAATAAGTAGAAATTAATTTAGGGCTTTTCTTGTAAATTCTATAACTTTGTGAAGAAAGGTTGTATAGAGCTGGGAGATGTCTCATTTTAATCAGAAATTTGCGGGCTATAATCATGCCTTACTAAGAAAGGTGTTGGTTATCTTTTAGAGTTTTTGAAAAACTGGCTTTCCAGAAAAACGATCTGTGGAGGTCTAGACGCCTAAACCACTATGATATTCGGATTTAGCACACTCTATTACCTATTGTCCATTAGGTTTCGTGAAAAAAGCGATCTGACAGTTGGAGTGGTTTCCTCGTGAGTATTATCTCCTTTATCAATTTTTTACCATAGACAAATGTCCCCTTTCTGAAGAAATGTGACGAGACGACCCGCTCTCATGGCTTGTGCTCCTTAGATTGCAGCAGAGATCTGCAGCTCAGTAGACGATATAAACACCGATATCTGATCTATCTTTTGCTCTGAAAATTTTCGCTTCAATACGCAATTATGATGGGAGAGTATATTAGCTCAAAATCGGTTCAGCAGTCCCTCTCACGCTCGTGGTCCTGTCTAGTTATTTGAACGAAAGAATTATCAAGTTCTGGCAAATATCTCGTAAAATGTTTTTTTTGTGGTACTGGTGCTTATTTATATAGATGTCGGTGAAATGCGTTTGCTACTGTTATATTCTGTATTTTCGAGGATAGTGTGAAATATGTTTGGTAAAAGTTTTTCGGTCACCGGACTTGTAGTTTAATGAGACTTGCAAACGAGTTTAATGAGTTTGGAGCTTGACCTCATCTAAATGGTTGGGGCGAAGTTCAGTTTAAATTTTTCGGATTCATAAGCATTTTAAATTAGTTACTATTGGTGAATTACAAGTTGTCTATGGTATTATATCAAGTATTTCGATGATCACATAGGAGTTGTGCTACAAAAAAGTGTCCATGTAATGCATCTAAGGTACCATGCAGTACAAAATGTGATTCTGCTAAAGAGAAACAATGTTCAAATTTATAGGTGTAAACTCTTTGATATATTCAATAAATTCCCGTGCTGCTGTCTCTTTTGCTAATAAATAATGCTTATACTTGTGCATATCATCATTCTTCTAAAATGTGTATTTTGATTTCTAATACAGTCGAAATTAAAATACTTCCATCGTATAAACTTTGTAATAGTATTTAAAATTCTCGTATAGTGGAGATTAAAATTTCAATTTCTACCGTTATCGACGCTACACTTCAAGGCATTCGGTTAATTTCCGAAAAGCTCCGAAACGAAAAGAGCTAAAACTTGCAGTTTTCCGTAGTCGTAAGCAGACAGTTTAATCTATGCTTTCATAACCAAAGCCCTTTTCCGAAACCATCCGAAAGACAGGTTTTCTAGAGATTTTTGGAAAAGCAATTCGGATCTCCCAAAACTGAGATAGCAATCGTATTGAACAGATAAAACACATAAGTACATCTTGATAGTCAGTCCGGCATAATTTGGATCGACTCTACTATGAGTTTTTTAATTATAGTCGAAAATACCGAGATGGGCAAAAATCAAGAGTTCTCCCCTATTTTACGTGCTAAAAATCCCAGGGTGGTCTCGAAATGTAGCGAACATCATTTTGTAGAGTAAAACCGAGCCCGATTATTCATTTACCCACCGGTAGGTTATGTGATATGGATACCTGCAAGTTCTATTTAATTGCTAAATATGTAAGGAAAATGGTTTTCAAGCCGCGTACACGCCACAGCGTGCTGTTCAGCAGCTGGACATGGAGCCAGAAACCAGCGATATTTTCAAGGTTTCAATTTTTTCTTCAAGTCTTTCTAGTTTGTAGAGGATACTTCGAAGTATATGTTCTGAAGTTTTCTCAGCTTACTTACATTATTTGGCTGAGAAAAAAATTAATTACTTAAAAAAATGTTCTAAGTTTTTGAGCACGAGGCTATTATTAAAAAATTTTCTATCTATCCTCCATTCACCATGAAAACTTGATTCTTGTCTGCATCAATAGAGAAATGGGTGGAGAGTATTTACCACGTGAAAAGATGTCAAAAATTTTGTTCTTTCCTTCGTGTTATTGACTAATTAGTACCAATTAACGTTAAATTAGCCTACTCTACTAGCTTAAAGTCCCATTTGTAAAATAACAACACAACGAAAAAATTCAAGCGATACCTCATATGATACAGAATTTCACGGGCTACAAGATAGGCCGCCTTAGAAATTTCAGAATTATTTTTGGGTGCTGGGTAGCTCTGGTTTCTTTCCCCACGAAAAAATTGATCAGGTGTCTTGCTACGACTGAGTCTGTAGTAGTAAAACGAGAGACAGTAATTGAACGGAAAAAACAGGCTCGTACAAAATCTCTGACAGCTGAACGTGATATTTCTGAATATGGTGCAGGAGCTCATTAGAGATATCAGTTTTATATACCTGTTTTTTTTGTGCGTTAATAGTAGGGAATTCAGTAACTTGTTATGTTGTTTAGAAACAAAGACTATGTTGAGATTCTGTGAAATAAAAACAGGCTAAAAGGGAGCCTATCATGTAGCCCGTGAAATTCTGTATCAGATAAGATATTCCTTGAATTTTTTCGTTGAGTCGTTATTTGATTACCACCGGTGGATCACATCGCCGCGAATGGATAGTAAAAAGAATTTTCTTCTACTGGAATATTAGCTTCAATAAATGAGTCTTTATAGTGGAATTCACATCACTATCAGATGGCTAATCCTTTGCATTTTGAAGCCTACACCCCTGACCGGAACAAAAATAGAGTTAGATTTCCAAATTTTTAATATTGTTTTTGATGAGCAAGAAACACAACACTTTAAGACGGCAAAAGAAACTTTTTTGTTATCAAACTTGAGTAGCCTTCTGTATTAATTATTGTTGTTTTTATATGTTTAAAAATATCTGCTCTTTCGAATGCCATTTAACTGACTCTCTAGCATCCATAGTAAAAGAGATACACCGAAAACAAACCTCGTGCTTTAGTTTTCACTAACTCAGTATTTTCCAGTATAATTAAAAACTTATAGTCGAGTCAGGATCCATTCAAATTATATGGATCAAGATATATCCATCCAGAATATCAAGATGTACTCTGTTTTATCTGTTCAACGGCTTGTCCAAAGGTAACGCTGTGACATTTTTGACACAGTTGAGATTTTATCAAAAACTATAAGAACTAGAAAGTTCCTTTTTGGTCCATTAGACGGGACTCTTCTTACTCTACTTTGACTATAAAAACGAAGATTTTTGGTTAAAGACTCGAACTTCCACAAAACCTTTTTAGGCCGGCTGTGACATAAAGGTCCTAAATTCTAACTACTGCTCATTAAAGTGCAAATTTCTGTGAAATTTAGAAGAGCTAATAAAAAGTATCTTAAGCGAAGTTTATAGAAGAGCCAACGGGCTCATCATCATCATTGGTTTTCTGCCTTAGGGCAGGTTTCAGGCATATAATTTCTCCAATATAATCGATCTTGAGCATATTCTTTCATCACTTTGTAGGCATTTATGTCTCCTTCTTTCAAATCATCAAGCATCATTTTTCTTTTTCTTCCTTGTGGCCGTTTTCCTTCGATTCTACCTTCTATTATATCCAATAAAAGACCATTTCCTCTTAGAATGTGACCAATCCACATTATCTTTCTTCTTTTTATCACTCCTAGCAATTTCCTCTTTTCTCCCACTTGCACCAGAATTTGATCATTCGTTCTCTTATCTTTCCAACTTCTCTTTTCCATTTTTCTCCATACCCACATCTCAAAAGCTTGCAATCGTTTCATCTCGTCTGACATTATCGTCCAAGTCTCAGAGCCATAAAGTGCTACACTCCACACCACCTCTTTAATAATCTTTTTCTTCAACTTTTCGTCCATTCTTCGCTTGAGTAGTTCTCTACGTTTATTGAAAACATCTTTTGTCATTGCAATCCTTGCTCTTATCTCAGCAGTACATCTTCCATCTTCAGTAGTTAAGGCTCCCAGATATCTGAATTTTGTCACTTGCTCTACTGTTTGTCCATTAATAACGGCCTTTCTTTTAGTAAAAGGGACGTTTTTCCAAACTCTTTCGCACGTCTATAAAAGTCGATTTTGTAAAGTAACGCTGTGACACACTTATTTGTCACACCATTTTAAGGC